CATAATGAATCTCTATGTTTCAGATGAGTCTCAGTGTTAAGTGACAAGGCTAGTTGAAGGGGGGTATTTCTATGCCTTGTTGAGTCTATGTGTATTTTCGAGCATGTCTTCTGATATTAAGCTAAGTTTTGAAGAGACAAGGAAGTGTTTTATGGAGACCGTTTGTGTGTTAAAGGTAGAGTCTGTGTAGTTCCATGTGTGGTAACGCATGTCCATGCATTGTGGTTCTATCCATGCATTGTGGAGCATGTCCATGGGTTAGACTAATCTGGGATTTGAATCTTTTTTTTTTTTTTTGAGATGGAGTCTCGCTCCGTCACCCAGGCTGGAGTGCAATGGTGCAGTCTTGGCTCACTGCAACCTCCACCTCCCAGGTTCAAGTGATTCTCCTGCCTCAGCCTCTTGAGTAGCTGCGATTACAGGTGCCTGCCACCATGCCCGGCTAATTTTTGTATTTTTAGTAGAGTCGGGGTTTCGCCATGTTGGCCAGGCTGGTCTCGAACTCCTAACCTCGTGATCTGCCCACCTCGGCCTCCCAAAGTGCTGGGATTACAGGCATGAGCCACCACACCTGGCCTGGGATGTGAGTCTTTAAGATGTAAAATGGATCTGGCTGTTTCCAGGCGAGTCTAGGTCTTGTCCAGGAAGGCTGTGTGTTGCAGAACATACCTGCATACTGTGTTTCTCTGTATGTGGACCACCCTTTGTGGGATGTGCTGCTGTGAGGGAAGTTGTAGCAGGAAGAGGCTATTTTGTGTGGCCAGTCTGTGTGTTAAAGGGAGAGACTGAGGCCAGGCGCAGTGGCTCATGCCCGTAATCCCAGCACTTTGCGAGGCCGAGACAGGTGGATCACCTGAGGTCACGAGTTCGAGACCAGCCTGGACAAAATGAAACCTAGTCTTTACTAAAAATACAAAAATTAGCTGGGCATGGTGGTGCACACCTGTAGTCCCAGCTGCTAGGGAGGCTGCAGCAGGAGAATCGCTAGAACCTGAAAGGTGGAGGTTGCAGTGATCCAAGATCACGCCATTACACCCCAGCTTGGGCAACAGAGCAAGACTCCGTCTCAAAAAAAAAAAAAAAAGGAGTGACTGTTTATCGGGTATTGCCATGTGCTTTGGGTCAAGTCTAGGTGATATGGGGTGTGTCGGTGTGTTGTAGAGCAAGTCTGTGTGTGATGGAGTATATATGTGCATGTTGAAATATTTTAATTTGTGTTGTCAAACAAGTTTGTATTTTACGAAGCACATCTTAGTGTTGTATAGGCAAGACAGCATTTTGCTGGACCAGCATTTATGTCATGGGGATAATGTATGTGTTATGGGGCATGTCCTGGTTTCTTGTCTGTTAATTGTAGTCACGTCTATGTGGTGAGATGCTGTTCTGCATATTGGAGAAGTCTATGGCTTGTGGATTGTTTCTAGAGATTTTGAAGTGAGTTCCTTGTGTTGCGGAGCCAACGTGGTGTTCTGGGGTGAGTATGTGTATTGGAGGGCATGTATGTGTGTGATGGCGTGCATTTGCTTAAACTGAGACGACTCTTTGTATGAATGAGTTTTTGTTTCATTGGTATGTTGCGCACTGTAGTGTGTCTAAGTGTTGTGTGACAAGTCTAGGTGTTATGCAGAAACTCTATACGATAGATGCTTCTGGGCATTACAGAATAGGTGCAGTCAGGCTGGGCGCGGTGGCTCATGACTGTAATCTCAGCACTTTGGGAGACAGAGATGGGTGGATCACCTGAGGTCAAGAGTTCGAGACCAGCCTGGCCAACATAGCGAAACCCCATCTCTACTAAAAGTACAAAAATTAGCCGCGTGTGGTGGTGGGCCCGTAATCCCAGCTAGTCGGGAGGCTGAGGCAAGAGAATTGCTTGAACCCAGAAGGTGGAGGTTGCAGTGAGCTGAAATCACACCACTGCACTCCAACCTGGGTGACAAGAGCAGACTCCATCTGGAAAAAAAAAAAAAAAAATAGGTGCACTCAGTATGGGTGTTATAGGAAAAGAGTGGTGAGAGTATTCATTGTGATGCGATTCTGTGCTTTCTGAGGGATATTCGATGCATTGTGGGTTGATTCGAGTTGTTTTAGATTGAGTCTTACCTTTATGCTCCAGTTCCGTGTGGAGTAACAATGACAACCTGATCAGCTAACACCAGTAACGCTAACTCTTTACAAAGCATTGCTCTAAACACTTTATAGGCATTAACTCATTTATTCCTCTTTTTTTTTCCCCTTTGAGATGGAGTTTCACTCTTGTTGCCCAAGCTGGAGTGCAATGGCATGATCTCAGCTCACCGAAACCTCTGCCTCCCTCGTTCAAGCGATTCTCCTGCCTCGGCCTCCTGAGTAGCTGGGATTACAGGCATGCGCCACCACGCCCAACTAATTTTGTATTTTTAGTAGAGACGGGGTTTCTCCATGTTGCTCAGGCTGGTCTCGAACTCCCAACCTCAGGTAATCCGCCCGTCTCGGCCTCCCAAAGTGCTGGGATTATAGGTGTGAGCCACCACACCCAGCCCATTTATTCCTCTTAACAGCTATAAGAGATACGTACCCCTATTACATAATTATTCCTAACAAATAGCTGAGAAAACTAGGGCACAGAGAGTTCCAGAAACCTTTCCAAGGTCACACAACTAGTAAGTGATGCATGTGGGATTGTAACTCAGGCAGTCTGAGACCTGAGTATAAGCTTTTAACCATTGTAGAGCAAGTTTTGTATCACGTGGGTTGAGACTAGATGAGTTGAGGCTAGTCTTTGTCTTGTGCCAATCTGGGCACTGTGTGGTAGGTTTTAGCATTGTGGGCATGGGTTTGCTTTGTGGAGTCTGCGTGTTTTCGTGCAAGTCTGCATGTTATGGGATGAGTTTGTGTGTCTGTTGTGATGTGACACTGTGCATTTAGGCTGGTTTTCTGTTTAGGGGGATATCTCTGCATGGTAGGACTTATCTAGGTATTACAGAGCAAATCTGTGTAGTGTGGGGCCTGGTCATATGTGTGGTAGTGTTCGGCAAGTCAGATTTACGGGCAACTTAGGCGATGTGGGGCATGTAGTTCTTTATGAGACAAGCATGAGATAAGTGTAAAATGTGTTGTGGCCGGGCATGGTGGCTCCCGCCTGTAATCCCAGCACTTTGGGAGGTTGAGGTGGGCAGATCACCTGAGGTCAGGAGATCAAGACTATTCGGGCCAACATGGTGAAACCCCATCTCTACTAAAAATATAAAAAATTAGCCAGGCGTGGACATGCCTGTAGTCCCAGCTACTCGGGAGGCTGAGGCAGGAGAACTGATTGAACCTGGGAGGCAGAGGCTGCAGTGAGCCGAGATTGCGCCACTGCACTCCAGCCTGGGCGACAGAGTGAGTCGCTATCTCAAAAACAAAAACATAAACAAAAACAAAACAACAACAACAAAAAAGTGTTGTGGAATGGGGGCTCTGTATTATCATGTGATGCCGCCAATTTTAGGAGCATGTATTTTGGAACATGTTTGTGAAGAGCAGGGGTATCCACATGTGAAACAAAAATATGTGTGTGATAAGGTGTGTTTGTGTGATGTAGGGCATATCTATGAGGTTGGGGGTGTGTGTGTGTGTGTGTGTGTGTGTGTGTGTGTGTGTTGTGGGCCTGTGCCTTGTGGGGCAAGGCTGGGTACAACACACAGTCTGGCTTCCAGTCTGGGTATTGTGGGATGTGTTATACAGCAAGCCTGTGCACAAAGTTCTTACTTGTGATGCAATTCTGTGTGTTGTGAGTGATGTCTGGTTAGGGTTCCGGTCTGTAGGGTAAGTAGGTACTATGGCGGGGTGTCTGTGTCTGTCGAGTGTTTCTAGATGTTCTAGAGCTAATCTATATACTATATGGTGAGCCTTCGTGTTGTCAGATGATTCTAGTCTGGGGTAGGCCTTTTTTTGTTTTGGTAGTAATGACAGTGATGGCTGTAATATAAATTAACAATTCTAATTGTTAGTATGTGCCAGGCAGTGTACTAAGCACTTAACAAATCTTAATGTATTTATTATTCACAACAACTCTCTGAAGTAGGCACTACTGTTATCTTTGTTTTACAGTTGCATAAACTAAAGAACAAAGAAATATACTTACCCGAGGTGATACAATCAGCAAGGGATGGGACCTCGATTCAAACCCAGTTAGTATGGATCTAGAGGCCTTGCTGGTAACTATTACACAAGCTGTATTTCTGTTGTCGTAGGCCAGAGTTGTAGCTCAACAGCATGGAAAAGCACATCTGTCCACCATGATGGAAATCTTTACATTGGAGGGGCAATATGTGTGTTGTATGTCTACCGACTGGGAAATGTTTATGTGCACCGTCGGTTTTGTACTGTGGAGTTAAGTCTGTGTTATGATGCAATTCTATGCATTGTGGAAGCAATCTATGCGTTTACACACATCACTGTGAATCATAAGGCACATCTAAGTGTGACGGATATGATTCAGTATGTTACAGAGTAAGTCTGTGCCCCGAAGGGATTGTGTGTACACTTAGGGTGAGTCTCAGTGCTCGACGGTGTTTGCGTGAGTTGTGAGGCAAGTATTTATACTGATGGGTGAATCTGTGCATTTTGGTGAATCTCTGTGCATGGCTGGGCATCTCCTGTTTTGTAGGCAGCAGCTTGTGCTACTTTGTAATCCCAAGGTGCTGGGATTACAGGCGTGAGTCACCACGCCCGGCTGAAGCAAGTATTTGTATTGTGTGGTGAGTGTGTCTTTTGTGACAGGAATCTGTGCACTGTAGGACAAGTTTGTGTGCTGTGGCCCAATCCTGTGCATCAAGGAGTGATAGATGTTGTAAGACGTACTGTCGCATGTCTTTGTGGTGGGGTAAACTTGTCTGAAAGCTATAGGGGGAGTCTCTGTAGTATGAGTTTAGTCTGTGCTTTGTGGGGTGATTCTACGTGCTCTAGGGAGTGTCTGTGTAGTGCTGGGCAAGTCTGTGTCCTGATGTGATGGTCTGTGGCCTGTGGTGCTTGTCTGTACACAATGGGGTGAGTCTGTCTGTTGTGGGAGAGTCTACGTTGCGATGCGGGTCTTCAAGCTGTCTCATGAGTCTGTTCTCGGGAAAGTCTGTTTCTTGGCAAGAGTCCCTGTGCTCTAAGATGAGTCTAGGATCTGCGGTGAGAGTGTGTCATCTCAGGGGTGTCTGTGTGCCCCGGGGAGAGTCTGTTTCCTGTGGGAAGAAGCTGTATACTCTGGAGAAAGTCTATGTGCTCTGGGGTGAGGCTACTGGCCTTGAGAGTATGTGTGCTTGTCGGGGAAGCCACGTTCTATGGGGTAAGTCTGCATGCTGTGTGTTTCCTAGAAAGGGTTCGTGTGATGTGGGAACAGTGCATGATGCTGGGATTGTCCGTGTGTCATAGTAGAGTCCTTATGTGGGGGGGGCAAGTCTGTGTCACGCGGGGTGCGTCAGTGTGCCTTAGGTGAGTCTCTGCATGAAGGAGTACATATGTGCCTCTGGGAGAGTCTAATGATACGGGGAGTGGGGTGTCCGTGTGTTCTGGGGAAAATCTTTCTGCTGTGGTGCTTGTCGGTGTGCCTCTGGATATGTCTGTGTACTGGAAGGCAAGTGTGTGTACTGTGGAAAGAGTCTGTGTGCTGTGGGAGTAAATGTGTGTTTGTGTTATCCGGCCAGTGTGCGCACTAAAGGATGAGTTTGTACACTGCGGATACAAGTCTGCTTCCAGGCAAGTCTCCCTTAGTATCTACAAATAATAATAGACAACACTTACATAATGGTTACTACGTGCCAGGCGCTGTTCTAAACATGCTGTTAGCATCCCCGTTTTACATCTGAGGAACCCGAGAGATTTAAGTTACCCTCCCACAGTCATGCAGCGAGCAGGCAGCCGAGGCTTGAAACCAGGCAGTCTGTTTCCTGTTCTCATACTATTATGATGCCCCTCGGGGCCCTGAGGGCATCGGTGGCCTCAAACCTTAAAAAGTCACTGGTGAGCATATAGAGAGCAGTTAATTTGGGAGGAAAGAAAAGGAGCGGCTAAAAGCCTTCCAAGCTTTATAAAAAAAAAAAATGCTCCATATACAATAACGATGGCAGCTTAACTCAGAAAAACTGACGTCATGTCTGCCAAATAACTCCAGCCACTGCGGCCCTCAGGACCCCTCCCCTGGCCTCACAGCCGCATTCTGCTACTGCAGTGGAGCAAATGCGCATGCCCTGGCGAGCTGCCATTGCCAGGGAAACCAACCTCCTCATAAACAAAACACAGTCTAATGCGGCAAGTCAGGAAACTACTGGGACTGAGGCTGTCAGCCAAAGGAGCCCCTTGCAATAACCGCGGGCAAGGCAGCCTCCCACCCACGCGCCCCCGCCCTGCCCCGCCCCGCCCTTTTTTTTTCTTCCAGAATTAGTAAAGCTAGAGGCCCGGAGCAGAAGTCAACAGAGAAAGAAAGCTTCGTTGGGGGCCCAGGAGAAGGTTGGTAATAGGCAGCAAGTGATTTTAATTGTCAGATCTCTCTGGGCAATATTTAACCCATCTCCTACTAAAAAACTCCTTGCTTTATGTCTTGAGCCTTACACCTGCAGTGAAAAGACATGGCCCACTGGGGTGTGTCCCTGTCTAGGAGAGGTAATGGCAGTGGTGGCATGGATTAGGACTCACCCTAGCTCCTTTAAAACCCTACGTGAAACTGCGACCAGCAACAGGCTGGCAAACATTATTTACTTCTACTCCTCATACATTTCTTGTATTTCCCTCTTATATCATTCTAGAAAATTCCAGGAACTGAGTGGAGGCAAGTTTAACTCACTGAGTATCTGAAGAGTAAAAAAAAGAGGTTGAAGGAGGAACTTTAACCCCGGGGGCATTTTTTTTTTTAACACACAATTGGGATATCAGGTGTGCCCAAGAGGAATAGCACACCTGAAACCGTGGTTTCCTGTATTTGGATTCCTTAATTTTAATTTGCAACAAGAATGTGACAAACAGTAACATAGTTAAAATGAAAAAAAATCCTGCTTAAAATACTGCCCTAATCTGCATGTGCGTAGGATTTTTGAAAGGCACATGCACAAACATGGTGCTCTAGTATGCTGTCAGAAGCTGCAGGAAGGTAGGAGCACTATTGCGAAATGTAACCATCTTGGGTAAAGAGAAAATGGCCGACCTGTGGAAAGCTACACCCTATCTAATGGAAAAACAGTTGTTGCGTTGGATTATTCAATAAGTGATGCTGAAACAATCGGTGACCTATTAGGGGGAAAAAAAAATTAATCCTACTGTATACCATATATCAAAATGAATTCTAGGTGGATTAAAGAGTTAATTGTAAAAAAAGAAGCAATTAAAGAACTAGAAAAAATACAGGTGAATACACTAATCAAAGGAAAGAAAAAAATCACAACATTTAAAATGGTCAGATATGGAAATCTAACATGTAAAACTGTAAAATATCAAAAAAATCACCACCATAAATGGTAAAAATTAATAGGAAAACAATGGCTGGAAAATAATGTTTATACCACATATAATAAATGAATTAGATGATAGGTGTTGGGAGGAAGAAACCTCAAACTGATTCATACCATTTGATCCAGGAATTCCATGTCTATGAATTTTTCCTAGGGAGAAAAAACCAGAAAAGCACATAGAGATTTATATGGAAAGATATTCCTTCAGTTATTTATAACAGCAAAAATAATGTACATATAAACATTCAATAATCAGACATTTAGTGGGACATCTATATGATAGAAAATTACACATCCACAAAACATCATATTCTTGTGAAATATTTTAAAATATGGGGAATTGCTCCCAATATATATTTAATGGATAAAACAGGCTAAAAATTGTATGTACATGTGATCTTCATTTTTATAAAATATATATTTCTATGCATTTATTTGCATATATTCAGAGAAAAGAGACTGACAGTAATAAGATTAACAGTAATTATCTCTAAAGTTATGGGATTATGGGTAATTTTTATAGTCATCTTTAAATTATTCAAAATTTACTACAATGACTATGATATTTTTATAATAAAGGGGAAAACATCATTTTTAATATTTTAGTAAGTATATAAAAGCACCGGAAGCACAGAGAGGAGGGTGTAGAAGCAAAGACAAAATACCAGTATAGGCCAGCGGAGGATCATGCAAAACGAGCTCATTATGGGCTACAGAAAGATTATAGCATTATTTGCATGTCAGTATGTATAGAATTTCTTATACAAGATGGAGTCCTGGCAAATTTTCTTCGCTACACCAGAGAATGGTCACATGTCCCTGGATGCGTCAGTCACTCTCTTTGCCGCAGTGCTCTGTTCAACACCCCCTCCCTTTGCCTCCAGTATGCTCTCTCCCTTTCCCTCTGCAAAACATGCTACCAGCAGACATGTTCAACTTGGGAAAATGGCCCATCCTGAGGACTTTCTTTTAAGCTTTTTCATTCTTATTTTTCCTCCTTGATTGCTGCTGTTTTGTCATCTAACTAAAAATCGAATCTATTTATCTATCATTTTTCTTTTCCTCATGTTCAAGGGTCAATTTGAATTTCAGAGAAATAAACCCCCACTTCACTTGTTTTGTTTTTTTTTTTTTTTCCATTTTTCTTGCAGAAACAGAGCTACAAAAGCATAGACATTTTCAGGAATGTTTCAGAAACAAACATAAAAGCTTTGTTGATAAGAATCTCTGCTATCTGTCTCACATCCCTTTTCAAAAAAAGAAGCACTGAGAACACTCTGTCTTTACTGTATAAATTGCTGTCCAAAAACACAAATGAATTTTTTCCAATGAAGGCACAATCATAATATTCATTATTACTTTTTCATGATTTTTTTCATCCTAAAGCCAAATTTCAATGTTTCTCACTGAATACACGTTCATATCTCACAGGAAGCAATCAGTCTGAACATTATTACAAACTGCCCTCTTCCTCATTTTTTTCTAGTACAGACATCCCGTCACACGACTTTCTTAATTTAAAAAATAAGGCATCGTATCCTTTCCTGCATTGCAAAATATTTTTCTTATGGTCTCCCAGCACTGAGAAAATAAATCAGGTTTGAGAACATCTTGAATCATAACCCATTTCATCACGTCAAATACAAATATCATAAAGCTGAGGTACAATTCTGAAAGCAATTTTCCAATTTAGTAACATCTTCATTAAATCTTATTTTAGGAAATATTTTACAAGAATCACAAGGGGGAAGTTTCTATATTTCCTCCTAGCAACTCCGTCATTTAAGAAACAAGCTTTAAACTAGAAAAATGACCAGGTGATATTTAGAATTTAATTAATCCATTTCCCAATGCTGCCGATTAGAATCAGGGATTCCTACACAGTTCTGCATTATTCTCTTCCATCAAAACATGTCACTTGCTTTAAAAATCTTAGTCTGGATATCTATTTTACAAAATATTTCTCAGCGACTTACCAGCGGCACGCTGTCTCCCCACCAGCTCTGAGGCTGTCTGTCGCACTGAAGGAGTGGGGGCAAACAGCAGCGCAACAGCCACTTGGAAATGAGATGTGCTCTGAAAAAGGGATTATCCCTATGGAAAGAAATGAAAGGCCTTGAGATTATCCTCAAGAATTCTCCAAAAACATGAAATCATACTAAACATTATATGCTAAAATGTGCATGCTCATCAAAGGGCAGATTTTAATAGCTAAACCTCTAATCCAAAACACACTGAAGTTGCCTTGATTTCCAGAGGAACCCCTACAAGACTATGAGCTTTTGGCTCTCCCGTCTCCTAGCAACAGTCCCGTTAACTTTTTTTTTCCCTGCAGTGGTCCTACTAGGCATCAGAGAACATTGACAAGGTCTAGTCTCTGAGGATGAACATTACCATTTTGTTGTTCAGTATGCGTTTTCCCCCAGGCAAGTAATAAGGAAAGTTAGAAATTCAAATAACAAAGTCCCCAGAAGAAGATTTCTGATTCAAATGACATTCCACAGTGAAAAGCAGAAATTTTTCTGGTCCCCTCACTTGGTACAATGCTGTCAGTAGAACCCTGTTCTAATATGAATCTGCTCAATGCTACCAAACTGTACAGTTAAAATCAAGTGGAAATTTTTTGTTACATATTTTTTCCTACAATAAAAAAGAGAGAAAGAACGATTCATTCATCCCACAAATATGTGTCGTGCCACAAAGTGAGGTATTCCTGTATCACCACAGTCAAAATATGGTGCTGGGGACAGGGATTATAAAAGTGAATAAAAAATAGTCCATCCTCCCTTTAAAAGTTCATAATGTAATAATATGCGCAGGCTGCAAAAATAGAAGTATTTTGTCAAAGTTATTCTTCTTTTTTTCATCAGTTTTGGGTAACATTATCATTAGAGTTGTTACATGATCTGCCCCAAAATACTGGACTCCCAATGGGTGGAAGAAGTAAAGAAATACATACTTAATTGTAAAATATATAAACATATATTCGTATATCTCAACTGATCATGCACATTTATCTTTACGGTGTAGCTTTCAGAAATTTTTTACTTCTATTTTCACAAATGTATTCACTTCAGAAAAACTTTACAACATTACATCATGACATAAACTGCTTTTAAAACTAATTTAATTTTTGCCAGATAGGAAGTATGTGGCAATTCAGTTCAATATCTTATAATAAAAAAAGATCAGTACCTTTACTGTGTATTTACTATAGGCCAGGCACTTTTCTAAGTACCAGGTGATGAACCTGAAAAGGCTGTTATCATCACGTTGCACAGATGAAGAAACTGAAGAGATAAAGTAATGGAACAAGGACACCAACCTTTCTTACCCAGAGCTCAAGCTCCTCATCACAACATCATTGAATCACAAACATCGGAGTTCTTCTAAATCACCTGGAGTGTTCATTTTTTTAAATGAGGACTAAAGGGGACCTGTTCCCAAGTATTCTGTTTTGGCAGGCTAGGGGCAAGCCCAGAAATCTGTATTTTTAACAAACGTCATCATTTGGTTCTGACCAGAAAACTTAAATAGAATCTTTATTATTGGTAATGTTATTGGAGAAGTAAATTCTAAAACTATGACACATACATACACACACACACACACACACACACACCACGTGTGTATATTCTGCATGGTTAGAACAAAGGAGTAAATGCATTTTGTGTGTGTGTGTTTTTTGGAACCAGAGTTCTCACTATAGGAGAAAGGAGATACAGATATGAATCTGAGAAAGTGAAGAGAATCCTAAAGAAACCTGTGGTGACAGATTTGAATTGGAAGTTTTAGTATGAACTCATGATTTCCTAAGACAAATCTTCCTAGGTCCGTCAACAGAAAGGAGGCAATGGCATCCCAGTAGCAATTAATATGATACGGCAGCTGCAATGAGCACATCTAATGCCCAGCTATTAGTTTCTAAATACTGTTACCTACTAAAAGAAACCAAGTTTTACTGGAAAAATAGCTGACGCTATATAAGGGGCAGGAAAAATACAAGTGAGATTGAAGTATCTTGTATTATGAGCCAAAAAGCACTTGAAGAACGATGAGAACACATCAAAAAGACACAGGAGATGGCTTGAAAGGGCTCTCACTGGCTAAATCTGGTACAATTTGAACATCAAAAGGAATAATAATGGTCGTTGACTATAAAATATAGAATAAAAAAAATCCATGAGTCCACAGTGATAGTAAAAAACAAAAAGTGGTAATGGAGAGGGTAACTGCTTTGTTCCAGAAGAATAACAGAAAAGAAACTGCTTTTTTCTGAAAGAATATACACGTGTAAAGAATGACAGAATTTGTAACTGACCATTTAGAAGCCATCAGTACAGGCTGGGCACGGTGACTCACACCTGTAATCCCAGTACTTTGCCTGTAATCCCAGAACTTTGGGAGGCCGACACAGGTGGATCTCCTGAGGTCAGGGGTTCGAGACCAGCCTGGCCAATATGGTGAAACTTCGTCTCTACTAAAAATACAAAAATTAGCTGCTCATGGTGACAGGCGCCCGTAATCCCAGCTACTTGGGAGGCTGAGGCAGGAGAATTGCTTGAACTCTAGAGGTAGAGGTTGCAGTGAGCCGAGATCGTGCCACTACACTCCAGCCTGGGTGACAGAGCGAGACTCCATCTCCAAATAAATAAATAAATAAATAAGAAAGAAAGAAAGAAAGAAAGAAAGAAAGAAAGAAAGAAAGAAAGAAAGAAAGAAAGAAAGAAAAGAAAGAAACCATCAGTATAATAACAGATTTAGGCAAGAATCATCAATGCCAGCCAAAACCATTAGGCAGAACACTGGGGAAGCGAATATTGACAGGACTTTGAAGTATTGCCCATAGGCTACTAATTAAATATAAAAGAGAAAAATGTGCATTTTCAATGGAGTGATTTGGAATACCTCTGCCTTAACTGATTAAACTGCGTGTCACCGATAATAGCACAAACTGAAATGTGTCTTTCGATGTGATGAAATGGGAAGCGCACGTCATCTACTTAAGTACTAGCCAAAAATATTTTATCGGAAGAATCAATCATTAAATCCAGATTGCGGAACAATCTAGAAGACAGCTGGCCTGAACCCATCTAATTATTTTTAAAAAGTGGGGGGTGGGGTGGGCAGGGAAACTATCCTAGATTAATGAAGATTAAAAAGATACAACACCAAATGCAATGTAACAATAGGTTAATCATTGGTAAATCTAGGTCAAGTATACACAGGTGTTCACTGTGGGTTTTTTTTGAGCTTTTCTGTAGGCTTCAAGTCATTTTAAATGAAAAAAAAAAAATTATTGGCCGGGCACAGTGGCTTATGTCTGTAATCTCAGCACCTGGGAGGCCAAGGCAGATGGATCACCTGAGGTTAGGAGTTCAAGACCAGTCTGGCCAACATGGTGAAACCCCATCTCTACTAAAAATACAAAAATTAGGGCCGGGTGTGGCGGCTCACGCCGGTAATCCCAGCACTTTCAGAGGCTGAAGCGTGTGGATGACCTGAGGTCAGGAGTTCGAGACCAGCCTGACTGATATGGTGACACCTCATCTCTACTAAAAAATACAAAAATTAGCTGAGTGTAGTGGTGTGCCCCTGTAGTCCCAGCTACTCAGGAGGCTTAGACAGGAGAACTGCTTGCACCCGCTTGAACCCAAGAGGCAGAGGCTGCAGTGAGCCGAGATGGAGCCACTGCATTCCAGCCTGGGCAACAGAGCGAGACTCTGTCTCAAAAACAAAAGAACAACAGCAACAAAATTAGCTGGGCATGGTGGCAGGCACGTGCCTGTAATCCCAGCTATTGAGGAGGCTGAGGTGGGAGAATCACTTGAACTTGAGAGGCAGAGTTTGCAGTGAGCTGAGATCGCACCACTGCACTCCAGCCTGGGCGACAAAGTGAGACCTCATCTCAAAAAAGAAAAGAAAAAAGAAAGAAAAGAAAAAATTATTAAAAGGTAAATTTAGCAAACAGGAAAATACTTTCAGAAAAAGAATTATTGCACAATAATCATATTTAAAGTTAAAATCCATATACATTTTGGAATTAATGATAATCAGGTTTGTAACTCCGAAATTAGAGAAAGAACTTTCCATACTGACCAGATGGAGGATGAATACAACTGGGCTTCCGTATCCATGAGTTCTTCATCTGTGAATTCAAAGTTGAAAATATTTTTTAAAAATCCATCTGCACTGGACATGTATAGACTTTTTTTCTGTGTCATTATTCCCTAAATAATACAATATAGGCATATCTCATTTTGTTGCACATCACTTTATTGCACTTCATAAATCTTGCATTTTTTACAAATTTAATGTTTGTGGCAACCCTGCATCTAGCAAGGCTATTGGTGCCATTTTTCCAACATGTGCTCACTTGGTGTCTCTGTCACATTTTGGTAATTCTTGCTATATTTCAAACTTTTTCATTATCATTATATCTGTTATGATGATCTGTGATTAGTGATCTTCGATGTTACTATTGTAATTATTTTGGGGTGCCATAAACTGTGCCCATATAAAAGGGGAACTTAGGCCAGGTGCAGTGCCTCACACCTGTGATCCCAGCACTTTGGGAGGCCAAGGCGGGTGGATCACGAGGTCAGGAGTTCAAGACCAGCCTGGCCAACATGGTGAAACCCTGTCTCTACTAAAATAAAATTTAAAAAAATAATTAAAAAAAATAGCTGGGCATGGTGGTGTGTGCCTGTAATCCCAGCTACTCAGGAGGCTGAGGCAGGAGAATTGGTTGATCCCAGAAGGCAGAGGTTGCAGTAAGCTGAGATCACGCCACTGCACTCCAGCCTGGGCAACAGAGCGAGACTCCATCTCAGAAAATCAAACAAAGGGGACAACTTAATTGATCAATGTTGCGTGTGTTCTGACTGCTCTACCACCCTGCTGTTTTCCCGTCTCTCTCCCTCTCTTCTAGATTTCCTATTCCCTGAGACAAAACAATAATGAAATTACGCCAATTAATAATCCAACAATGACCTTTGAATGTTCGAGTGAAAGAGTCCTCCCACATCTCTCACTCTAAATCTAAAGCCAAAAATGAATAAGCTTAGTGAAAAGGGCACATGAAAAGCCGAGAG